CTTCTCCAGCACTGTGTTATAAGGCCTCAGCTCCAGCTTGAGAGAAAGGAGCCAGCTGCCACACAACCAGGCGTCTGGCAGGACCCACAGGAACAACCTGTGCCATGGTGGCTCTAACTGCCTGGCAACTCCCTCCAGATTGCCCGGCAGCCAGGCTGGTAGAGATACCAACCAGCAAGTGAGCTTCCCTAGAGCAGGATCCTTGCCCTATGCAGCACCAAACTCTGATCTGCTGTAACCAACAAAATTGTGGCCAGGTTTAACCCACATTTGTCTCATTGTGTTAGTTGCTCCTGAACAACACACCTTTGTCGTCCACGGTGCACGTTCTGATTATGATTACTGTTAAAACCTGTTGGGCCTCATTGCTCCTTTAACAGCTAACTCTCCTTAGGAATACAGAAAATTAGCCAGGCGAGATAAACATTTGTTGGAAAACAGTCGGGAACGCCAAGCGGTGTCTCCTCTTTTACAGCGTGTAAGCTTTTTATCCCCTGCAGTTCTCTCTACCTATTGATGGAGCAGCCCCAAACTTTTCAGTAGGGGGGGGGGAGAGAGCTTTTCATGTAGTGACCGTAATATGCAACCTGCTTCATATCCCAACCATCTGAGAGAGCCAATGTGGTGTGTTCTTGTTCTCTGTTGTATCCCACTTCAGGCACAGAGGACTGTGGGAGCCAATTAGTGCCATTACCATGCCATCAAGAGAGTCATCTCCAAGTCTGTGTAAGCACAGTGTGGGGCAGAATAACCTTGACACATTGATGTACTTAGCCTTGGCACCATCACACAGGCAAGGGTCACATCCACTCCTGCGTCAGAGGCAGCGCTGACAGTGGCCAATTAGTTTCCGCATGCCAGCAGGAAAGGAAGAAATTACCGACCTAGAGAGTTTATCTGATACTAAATAACTGCTCTGGGAGGAATGGGGAATGTGCTATGGAGAGTGTCGCCAATCACTATCAAGGAGAAGAGTTGGTGGAGCATAGTGGTTAGGAGCATGGGCTCTGGGCTGGGATGCCCCCTGGGCAAATGTTCACTTAGCTGGGTGGCCAGGCTGCTCATTATTAGCCCCTCATTATATTTAAAAATACCCAAGAAGTCTTGCAATGAACCACATTAATAACAGCAATTAGAAGAATTGCTTAAAAAGAACAGTCAATAAAACATCTGGATAAAACAGCAGAGAAAGAAGCCCATGAGGCCAAAAACAAGAAACCATCTAAAGACTCACATAGGAACACAGGGCACTGCCTTCTACTGAGTTCAGACCATTGGTCCATCTAGTTCAGTACTGGCAGCACTGTCTGGCAGCAGCTCATCAGGGTTTCAGGCAGGGAAAATTCCCAGCCCTACCTGGAGATGCAAAGCAGATGTTCTACCACTGACCTGCAGCCATTCACCCATGTCTGTTCATTAAACATCTAGGCAAGTATTATTATTATTATTATTATTATTATTATTATTATTATTATTATTATTATTATTTTAAAAGGGGGGGGTGTTAAGACTTTATCTGAAAATGTTGCTCCCATGTAGCCAATACCAATCTAGTTATACCAGACCACACTTCTATTACATTCTCACTTAAACCAGTTTAAATTCCACTTAAACTGATTATTGCATTAAACTGAAGTGGGATTTCAAGCAGCTAAAGAGCATTTGTGTCAGGAGATTTGCACCAGCCAATCCAAGCCGGTATTCAGTTGGTGCAGGACAAGTTTCTAGTTTTGAAGAGATGCCAGGACCACTTCTTTAATTGCTCCAACGGTTGTGTCCCAGGGGCAAGTCCTTTCTCCATCTGCCAGGGAATGCAAGCCCTCGCCATCCCACAAGGGGGTGATGAGGCTTTGATGAGTTAGCATACTTTCAAAGGAGTGCTAAACGACAAGTTATCAAGAGGATGGAGCAGCTCTGCTCTGAAGAAAGCTTGAGGTATTTGGGACGTTTTGGTTTAGAGAAAAAGCAAGCTGGGGTGACATAATAGACGTTTATAAAATTATGTCTTGCATGGAGAAAGTGATAAAAGAAAGTCCTTCTTCACACGGTGCATAGAGTTAAACTGTGGAACTTGCTCCCACAGCAGGCAGGGGTGGCCACTAACTTGGGTGGCTTTAAAAGAGAGTGAGACCAATTCATGAAGGAGAAGGCTAGGGAGGGCTACTAACCATAATGGCTATCCTCTGCCTCTACATTCAGAGGCAGTAAACCTTCCAAAAGCCAGTTAGTGGAAACCACAGGAGGGGAGGGTGTTATTGTGCTCAAATCCTGCTTGAGGGTTTCCTACAGACATAGAACCATAGAACTGGAAGGAACCACAAGGGCCATCTGGACTGTCAGGGGACTGCCATCGGAACAGGGGAGGGAGGCAGAGAGCCTCCAACGCTTCTGAGGAGCAGCTCCTCATCCAGCGGAGGGGAAAGCCACACCTCCAGTGGAGCAGAGAGGGAAGGGTCCAGCCAAGCAAGGAGAGGGCTTGAAAATGCTGCTGAGAGCCCAAGTGCCTCCTCTTGCCCAGCTGGCTAGGAGGCACACACACCACTTCCGCCACCCACCTTGCGCAGAGGGGTGAAATGCAAAGAGGGTAGGTGGAGGTTTGGGGTGTCTAAGTTCTTATGTTGGGGGAGAAGCCGGAAGGGGCCACTCCCAGATTTTGCAAGTGACTAAGACAGACACGTGGCGCTGTGGGTAAAAGCCTCAGCGCCTAGGGCTTGCTGATCAAAAGGTCGGCGGTTCGAATCCCCACGGCGGGGTGCGCTCCCGTCGTTCGGTCCCAGCGCCTGCCAACCTAGCAGTTCGAAAGCACCCCCGGGTGCAAGTAGATAAATAGGGACTGCTTACAATCGGGAAGGTAAACGGCGTTTCCGTGTGCGGCTCTGGCTCGCCAGAGCAGCGATGTCACGCTGGCCACGTGACCCGGAAGTGTCTCCAGACAGCGCTGGCCCCCGGCCTCTTGAGTGAGATGGGCGCACAACCCTAGAGTCTGGCAAGACTGGCCCGTACGGGCAGGGGTACCTTTACCTTACCTTAAGACGGACATGAACTTTGTGGTTATGCAATGTGTAAATAGTTTGCACCAAATAAAACCTGTACAAGACAGGTTGAAGTCCTGGTTGGTTACTCATGAGCAACCACCATCCGCATCTGACATAGACCAACCACCTGCACTGCAGGAATCTTCTGGCCAACGTGGGGCTCAAACCCACAACCCTGATATTAAGAGTCTCGTGTTCTACCAACATCTGGTAGGCCACTGTATGACTGGACTAGATGGGCAATTGGACTGATTCAGCAGGATCTTAGGTTCTTATGCGATGACACTGAAACTGAGCCAAGGGCTCAGCTTTTCCCACATCATAAATACTGATAATAAGAGGACATGATAATACCCCCCCCAAAATAATAATAATAATAATAATAATAATAATGATGATGATGATGATGATGATGATGATGATGGTGTCTCTGTTTTGACCTGGTTTGGGAACTGTCAGGTGCTGGTAGCCAAAGGACAAAAAAATGCTGCTTCAGATCTTGAGGTTGGAGACCTTAGCAAGCTTACACACACACACACACACACACACACACACACACACACACAATTGGCAGTCTTTGTTAGATGACGGGTTAACAGCATTTCTCTGGGTGGGTGGGAGAATAAGGATCCAGAGTCCCCTCCATCAACTCTTACAAAAAACCTGTGCAGTGGTTTGGAAACTCCAAAGTTACCCAACATCTGAGCATTAAAGGCATGGATTTTTGAGCACCACTAAAACATGGACGGGACATAAGCAACTCATTTTACCAGTATCTGTGTGTATTGTGTCAGAAGCATAAATGCATCAAGATAATTGGAGGTCAGTTTCCAAGACACAAGAAGTGTCAAAAAAAAAAGACCTGTGGGCAATGGAAGTTCTAACCTCCACTTCACGTGCTTCCAGTTTCTTGGAAGATCTTAGATATGAGATATACAGGGGCAAAGATTTAATAAAGTTATCATACCTCACAACCAAAACTTGCAGAAGAGCTGAGCTGCATTTTGCTTTGCTCTAGCAAATTCAGCCCTTCAGCAGTTTACCTGGATTGACTAAAATACTTACTTAGGGACCTGCCAAAAAGTTGGGTCTGCAGGAAGACAGGATTAGCATTCACAGTAAGGGAAAAGTCCATCTTAAAAGTGACTCCCATCCAGACTGGAAAAGCTGGGAGCTCAGGACCCCAAATATCTCCTTGATCTTGTGATATTTCTGCTGCACAAAGGGGAGAGCTAGACTTCCAGTGTGTCAGGGAGGATTTATGGCCCCATTCCATTGCCGCTAGAGAGTGTAAATTAGTTTTAATAAGAATAGCATGGAAGCTTAGATGGGGCAGATTATACTCCTTGTTGGATAGTTGGGTTGATTAGCTTGAACGGTGTCATTTGGAAAGGGTTAATTAATCTTGAGGCAGCAACAATAGAGGATGAGAGATCAGGGTCATTAGTGGCTAAGAGCACCATAGAGAATGTGCTTTTGCTCCAAAGCATTTCGCTAGGGTGCAACAGAGCAGTGGAGGGGATAAATATATATTTGTTTTCATGTTGAGATAATCTGCTACAGTGGCTCTCAATGGAGGAACTAATAGTGTCAATCTCTAGTCTATGGGGACTTTCGCCCTGAAGTCACCTGCCTCCCAGACACTATGCAGCACCCTGCTCATAAAGGGTTTTTAAGCATCACTTCCTCCTACTGTGGACCCCTTGGAATCAGGCCCATGACAAGACTAGCTCACCCCCTCCCCAGATCCTCATTGGGTTTGCCAAAGCCAAAGGGCACTTCATTTCTCTCTCTCCCTCTCCCTCTCCCTCTCCCTCTCTCTCTCTCTCCCTCTCTCTCTCTTTTTCTCTTTCTCTTTCTCTCTCTGACATGATTTTGGTGTGGCCCAGTTGTTATCAGTCAGTGCAGCCACATGGCAGCAATTCCCACTGTCAATGTCAATGACTCTGCTGTTCTTTCCTACAGATCGGTCACTGGCATGTTACCAAAGGCCTTACCATGGATAACCAGATCTTCTCTTCCAATGTGTCAGAGAGCCTCTTCAACACCACGCTCATTGTCACCACCATCCTGGTAAGCGTGGAGGGTCTTGGTGACCTCCTTTTCTGCTCTGGCATCTCAGGGGCAACCTCCAGATACAAACCTTCCATTCCACATGCCCATCCATTCCATGAAAAGAGTCGCACGCTGAGTCCCTGAAGAAACAGATGGTCAAACCACCAACTGCAGCACCAGAAATCATTTATGACATCTCAATTAAACTCAGATTGGTACACATCACATGGAAACTATATTTGAGGAGTTCAGAAGTGGCTGGGGAGAGGGTTAGAATGAGAGCATGCATCACAATTTTAAATTTCTCTCTCCACATGCCAGTTTGCTTATAGACCTAGTTGGGCTATAGAGAGGGTAGGTCACCTCTTCTGCCTATGTAAAACTTCTTGTGGTTTTTAAGATGGGTACAGTTTGAGTCACCTAGGCTTATATTTGCAGGTGCTCATTTTTATAACTCCTTGCATTGCTCATCTTCCACCATGGCGAAATGCTTTTGGGTTTTCTTAAGCTATTCTTCATCTCCTGGAGTACTTGAAGTCTCCATCTGTGGTCTATATTTTGTCCATATTCTTCTCAACCCCAGAGTCAGAGAGACTTTGTGCTCTAACTGAATATTTTCCAGTTGAAAGACTCCAGGGATGGCTATGCCAACTTGATTCCCTCCAGATGTTTTGGGCTTTAGCTCCCATCAGTTCCAACCAGGATGGTCAATGGACAGGGATAATGGGAGTTCTCATCTAAAACATCTGGAGGGCACCTGGTTGAAGAAGACTACTGTCTTCCCAGTAGACTGTACTCAGGGAACTGGCAGCCCACAGGCCACATCTGGCTTCCACCCTATACTTGCCAAGGTAATCAACTGGTGGATGGAGTGGGACAAAGCTTCCCTTACTAATCCATTTTCTGATATGGATGCCACTTAAACAGAATGAAATAGTTTTCAGTACACCAATCATGAGGGACTGGAGGGGGGTGCGGAATCTCCCAGTTTGGATCTAGTTTGCCATTGCTGCATCCCAGATGAGCTTGAAAGGAAGAGGAGAGAGTCTGGAGAATCTTTTCCCAGAGACTGTTTCCTTCCTGGTGATTCCCAGGGGAGTCCATCACATCACCTGCCCCTGCTTTCCGATTTGTGCTAAATCTAGTGCTGTTGCGACTCCATGACTAAGATGGGAATGACAGCTGCCCAGTTTCGATGCAGGAAAACCCTTACTTAATGCTCAAGGGAAACCACCAAGAGCTGGAAGGGAACGACCAATACGAAGGCTTCTGCATGGACATGCTGGCAGAACTGGCCGCGATCCTGCACTTCAACTACAAGATCCAGCTGGTTGGTGACGGAGTGTACGGCGTCCCCGAGGCTAATGGAAGCTGGACTGGCATGGTGGGGGAGTTGATTGCTCGGGTGAGTTGGTTAACGCTAATGAATGAAGCTTATTTGCATGTGTAGCAGAATTGCATGGAATGACCTTCAGGGCTGTGAATGCAGAGATTGTTCATGTTGAAAGCTTTTCCCCAAAAGAAATCTTCCTTGCAGATCGAAAAGTGTCAGGAACAAGGACTCTAGATGAGCCTCTCTTGCCAGGCATTCTAGTTACCTTTGTGTACTGAGATATTTTTGGTGGGAAATCAGTCAGATGTGAAATCTCCCATCTGCAACATAAAAATGGGTACTTGCGTTTATGCTTGCTGTTTATTACTAATTTTATGGTATCCTTTATATGTTTTATTGGTGTGTTTTGTTTTGTTTTGTTTTGTTTTGTTTGTTTTGTTTGTTTGTTTTTTGTTTTGTTTTGTTTTGTTTGATGCTTTGGGCATTTTCCCTGACAGGAAGCCAGGACAGATGTGTATCACAATAACAACAAAAATAATTATCATAATACATGGCATGACATTGTTTCAGTTCTGAGAGAGTAACTCAACTGGCAGTAATGGCCACCAACTTGGATAGCTTTAGAAGAGGATTGGACAAATTCATGGAGGACAAGGCTATGAATAGCTACTATGCTCTATATCCATTGACAGAAGCATCATGCTTCTGAATGCGAGTTGCTGGGAATCTCAGAATGGCATCCTTCATAAACTTCAACTCTCAGAATTCCTGGGGGGAAGCTGTTCCTGTTAAATGATATCAGAGTGCTTTAAATATACATGGTGTGAAGGTGGCCTTAATGTGTACATCACACTCCAGCTCTTAGATGTGAGAGGCCAAAACTTGGCTGAACAAAATGAATTATACACATTCTGTGAAGTCTCTGCACAAAATAGGTCCAGCCGAGCTGAGTAAGAAAGAGTAGGTTGAAAAGCATTCGAAACCAAGTTGGTTTCCTCCCTAATGTACAGAAGTACTTGTTATTCTAGTACTGCCTCCTGCCTTTCTTTATTAAACATCAGAAAGTCTAAGTCAATTGAGGTAACATGCTCACACCACCCTTTGTATCCTCTGTCCGTACAAGCAAGAGGCATGATCAAAGTTCAAGAATGCATGCCAACCAGGCAAACACACTCAGAGCTAGGGACATAATCTGGGAGTGTTCCAGGGGCCAGAAAAGAGAGCCCTGGAGGGTCGCATTCAGCTCTTGGGCCTGAGATTCTCAGCTCCTGAGATAGACTTTTGGTCTGATCCAACCAGGCTCTTTTTATCTTCTGATGGTACTGAGTTGGTGTAACATCTTAAAGGGAACCTCACCCAGTAGAAGCCCTTTCTCATGAAAAGCTATAAAGAAACCAGCTGGCCCGCCAGCTTTCTATTGCTGCCAAGCGACGCTGGAGTGTTTGCTGATGCCTTGGGCTGTCAGTGTAGATTTTTATATAGATAAACAGGTTTGCAGCTATTCTTCAAGGAAGCGAGAGGGAACAGTCATAAAGGAAAGTGTGATGTCTTCAAACAAAAGGGGGGAAGAAAGATATGGCAATGCTCTGAACAAGTGGTAGCCATGGATTTTTTGTAGCGATAAGTGCTTTCACCTTGCCTTTTCCTGGAAACAAATTATTTAGCCATTGTTTGTTATTGTGAGCATCAGGAGAAGGCGTGTGAAAAGGTGAAGCATGAGCTGAAAAAAATGAGGAGTGGATAAAAGTCAAACGATCCATTGTGATTGTTTTGGATACGTTCCTGCAATCCTCAAAATCACTCCAAGAATTGGATTTGTGTTTGTCAGTTATGGGGATCTGGTGTTCAATGGGCAAGAACACAAGAACTGCTAAAGATGATCAAGGGACCATTTAGTGCTTAAATGGCACCTAACCATTGACACCTGGCCAAATGACACCTCAGAGGTTCTAACAGTTGCAGGGGAACAAACAGTGTTGGAGGGGCTGTGATGAGCTTTGATCTGTGTTGGCACCGAGACAAGATATTTAAATACAGGGAGTTAATTTTCCAGGAAGTGAAAAAAGGTTACTAAGCTGGATCTGACATTGTTTCCAGCACTGCCACTGTTAAATATTTGGGAAGGGGGAGATAAGGGGGGTGTTGTTGGATTCCTGTTGACTGCTGCCAGGATGGAAATTGCAAAATGCTGAAAAATAGCTTGTACATTCCAGTGCCCGATTCAAAGTAAGTCAAACAATAGAAGCAATCCTGTTTGACTTTAGTTCTCAGATTCATGCATTAGAGAGAAGATCTGCAAATAGTTCAGTCAAAGGACTGAGGAAGAAATTATCCACAAAAAGAAAACATTAGAAAGTAGGATTGTAGGTTCATTTCAATGCAGTGTATATTGTTATGTAATTGGGTTTTTTCCTGTTGCAAAGTTTCTGAATTCAAAAATGTGGCCCTCTCTGGAACAGTCCTCAATCTTGGTTCCATTATACTACATACACACTGTTCAACTGGCAATGAAATGCACTCATGTCCCAATTCAGAGGACTATCATTGCTCTTAAGAATTGGACATGATGGCTGGGGCATATAACCATGGCTGAGAGACTGGCATTCAGGCAACAGCACTAGACTCCAATGCTGTATGGATGGAACATATCCATTGTAAATGTAGACAACTGTATCTCTCATGCTGAATATGTCAGGGACATTCCTCAGATACCTCACACCTGGGAACCAGAATACCATGCCCAAGAGTTTAGTGTTTTGGGGATTCCTAAATTCAAATCTCTGATATGGACATTTTTTTATTTATTCCCCCCCAGAACTTGTGGGGTATAGTCTTCCACTTGTGGCTTTGTTGGTCCACCTTGTGTTTAATTGTTGACTTTGTTATTCTTGGGGGGTGGGGAGGATTTAAAAGGTCAGCCAAGCAGTCAGTCAGAAGCCTCTCAAAGCTCACATGCAGACCTGGTGGTAGCAATTTTCTTAACTGTGTCTCTGCATCTCATATTCACAGGTATAATGACTCTGTATAAGGAAGTTCCATTTACTTATCCTGGTTAATAGCCAATTCTTATCTTCCAAGAATGCATTTACTTAGGACATTTTTATACCACTGAATTATTTGCATTCCTAATGTCTCTCATACCCCTTTTATATATATACCCATCTAAGCCATCACCAGATCATAGAAAAAAATAGCAAAATGCATATATTAATTATGGACTGTAGGAAGAATAGCTTCCTCTGGTCTCATCTGAACGTCCTGATGAACCATTTTGTTGGTTGTTTCTTTATGACATCGGGGGGGGGACTTTGGGGACTCACAGAAGGGGCAAAGTATATTTCTGGTGGGGGAGTTGTGTCCCACATATTAAACTCTCTGAAAGAAAAATGGCAGTATATGTTAAAGACAGGAGTCCAGCAATGGAGGTAGGCAAGTGGGGGGGTTGCTCATTGTTTGGGGGGCACTTCTCCCCCATCTCTGGTGCCACTCATGCTTGGCCATATGATAAATGACTGAATGTGATAAGGAACCTTCTGTTGAGCAACTCATGCTTGGCTCATCCAATTCTCTTTCTGGCGAACTGTCACAGCATTGAGATGAAACCCCAAATATGGATGTCGTGATCTTATTTTCTTCTTCTTCCCTGAAAGAGAAATTCCAAGTGAACAAAAATTGAGGCAAAAACAATTTGATGTGGGGCTGCCACAGTGCAGGGTTAATTACATACACACTTCATAAGGTTTTTATGAGGGTAAGGACATGAAAAAGAGAGGCAGTGAATCATATGTCCTGCTAATTAGAATGGAATAAAAGACTTCAAGTGGCAAACACTGAGCTAGTCTTGAAAGTCCAGTGGGGGGAGGGAATATTCCTCTCTTTCGTTCTGGTTGGGCAGCAAAATAAACTTCTGTGGCAAAAGAGATCCTTGCTTAGAAAACGTCTATTCAGTTTTCCCTCATTTTGGGAGGAGGGAACATTCCTCAGATTAATGCCAATAAAAATAATTGCAGCAAAAAAGATGTAACTAAAAATCAATGTGAGTATCTAGGGCAACGGATGTGCCATCTCCCATCTTCAATCACAAATCGACAGACACGCTGCAGGCCACCTGACTCAAGCTCATTTGTGGGCCACAGTCTGAGGACCTCCAGGCTAGAAAAATTGCACAGAGGACCCTGAGAAGGGAGAAGATGAGGTGCAAAGCAGGGCAAGGCTCAATATTGTTCCCCGCAGCCAAGAGTCCCAGTATTAGCTTGGGATGAAGGCAAGGTGCCGCTCAGACACAAGGTTGCCCAGAGGAAATCCTACATTCCAGAGAGGTGTAAATGCTTCCGAGCTGCCAACATCAAATTTGCAGGTGTTTTATTTGGGGGATATAGCTTAATCTCTTGTCACTTCAGGCATAGTTCCTTGCCCTTTCCCCTTGGCTTAAGTTGTACCATCAGTCAACAATTGTAGCAGTATTTAAAATCTGCACAAAGCCAAACAAGCACACATTTGAGCAGACAGGATAGTGATGGGTGGACTTGCCCAGCACTTGTCCAGCACTGCTCCAGAAAAGCAGCGCACTGTAAATAATAGATGCTTCCTCTGGTATCTATGGCATTGTCCAGAGCTTTGATCCCTGCATTCACCAGAGCACCTTAGGAATACCAGAAGTTGCCTGACAGTGAGCCCAGATTCTTGCTCCATCTGGCGCAGTATTTTCTACCCTGACTGGCAGCAGCTGACCAGGGTTTTAGGGGGGGGGAGCCTTCCCCGGCTGTGCCCAGAGATGTCAGGGATTGAACCTGAGACCTTCTGCAGACAAACCAACACTCAGCCACTCTGCTATGGTCCTTCCCTCTGCCCCATCTTGCCTTGATATGTAGCATGATGGAGGAAGGGGTAAGTAAGAAGGTGCTGCAGCAAACACCATGATATCACACTGTGGCCAGAGTAGATCCACTTTGGATTGGGTGAGACCCCAGGGTCCAGGAGTGACAGGGAGGCTATCACTTTCATGGCCTGCTTGTGCAGTTCCCAGAGAGACCTGGCTGACCTTTGTCAGAATGGGTGACTTAGGCCACATT